AAAAACAAAAACAAAACACACTTATTCTGTTGGTAGATAATTTTACTGGTCAAGTTGAATTTTCCAGTGAACTATTCCAAATATTACATCAGTTGAAACATTTTATGCGAGTTTCAGAAATGATTCAAATTATTTTATTTTTTTTGCCATATTTGACCTTCTACCTTTCTCACTGCACAATGTTACAAAACCAGAATGTTGTTTTTGTTGTTTATTTATTTATTTATTTGCTTTTTACCATGTTATAATGTTGTTTCCTCATCACAAAATGCTGTTTATGCATGTTTGAACAATCTAGTGATCTCTCTCAATATTCATCTAAAACGACTTGAAGGTGCACTATGTAATTTTTTTGGTTTGGGGTCCGTCACCTGCTTGTTTCTATGGAGATGTCCTTGCTCTTCCGCGAATGTTCCACAGTATGACATTAAACACACAGTATCTACCTTACATTTATTCAATTACAGGTTTTTCGGACTGTAAGTCGCTCCGGGTATAAGTCGCACCAAAAAATGTGTAATGAAGAAGAAAAAAGCAGAAAAAGTTGCACTGGACTATAAGTCGCACTTTTGGGGGAAATTTATTTTATAAAATCAGAGACCAGGAATCGACATTTTATCTTGAAAGGCAATAACAACAGAATAAAAAACAACAGGCTGAACAGGCGTCTGGTCTGTTAACGTAACATATTAACAGTTTTCCAAATAACTATAGCACAAACAACAGAACATAAGTTTACCAAACTTTCCATCGCACTCCAAATCATTAGATCCATTTAATCCACTGAATTCTTCATCCTCGGTGTCACTCCTGAACAACTCCGTGAAACTTCAGGTGTCACTGGAGTCCAGGCTTTGTCGATCCATCCATTGACTGTCCAGTGAGGTTCATTTGGTCTTCTGATAATTTATGTTATTCGGTTCTTTTTTCAGACCAAGAGTTTGTTTTCATACCTGACAGTTTCGACTGCTCACTAGCGCTCTTCTTCAGAGTGATCACGTGATGTTGCTGTGACGTGTCCGTTCAGCTGAATTAAACAGGTTTTAGTGCTGTCTTCCTACCGGTGGAGGCAGGACGACAGCGCCATCTGCAATCCGACTTTCTCAGGACAGTATCCCAGGTGTGTGAGGGAAAAAAAACAACAACCTCATCCCGGTTTATAGTCCCTTGGGCACGTTTCCGTATTTCGATTGACCATCCATTGACTTCCAGGAAAGTTTCAGGGCGCATCCTCCTGGTTGCAGTGAAGCTGTGTTCTCCATTCCCACTTTTCCTTCACAAGTTTCTCGCTCACTCCAAACTTTATTTCTGCTGCTCGATTACCGTTTTCTGCTGAATATTTCACTACATGCAGCAGGACAGCGGCTTTTTCTGCAGGAGAAATGTGCAGAAAACTGATACACGAGCCTAGAGCGCCCTCTCGTTTGATTCTAGTCTGAAAATTTTAATATATAAGTCGCACCGGAGTATAAGTCGCAGGAAACACCCAAACCACAAAAAAAAAAAGCGACTTATAATCCGAAAAATATGGTAGTTTATAGCTCAAAAATACCTAGAAAAGCAAGCATTCTGACTGTGAGTGGGGTCGCCTCTCCACAGATCTGACCTGTAACTTGGTCTGGTTTGGTCTCCATGAAGATTGTAAAGTTTAATGCCATACTGTGAAACATTCCAAACAAAGCAATAACATCTGCACAGAGAAAAGCGTTTGACGGACCCTCCACCGGAAAAGTTACACGAAGCAAATCAAATGTTGTCTTATTTGATTTCCACAACGTTTTACTTGTTGCAAGTGTCATAAAAGTGTTAGAAAGCACAATATTTTTACATGTGCAAGTGGAAAGCATCAGCTCGTTTATTTCTGTTGAGTTATCAGTGTCCGTGTCAGTTTGAACCACAACAGCCCCAGCCTTGTCCTTATCTCCGCCTCAAGGCCAAACGCACTAAAGCTGCTTTTAACCTATTTCAGATAAACCACATTAACAATTGACCTCTGAAGGATACAGGGACACGCTTAGGAAACTCTAAACTACACCAATAACTAATCAGGAGGCAGTTCCAAGCGATCAAAAGGTTAACTGAGATATACAGTAAACATGTCTATTTTTGCGTAGAGGTGCTGTAGCTGTTTTTTAAAAGCTCTTTAAAATGTGTTTTGGGTAACTTTTTTCAGAGGAGAGTCTGTCAAATGCTTTTCATGGAGATGTTATTGCTCGATCTGGAATGTTTCACAATATGGCATCAAATCTTTCCATCTTAATCGAGAGGAGACCCCGCTCACAGTCAGAATGTTTGTTTTTCTAGGTATTTTTGAGCGATAAAACCACCTGTAATTGAATAAATGTAAACTAGAGCTGTTTGATATCATACTGTGGAACCAAAAAGTTACACTCTGCACCTTCAAAAGCAAAGAAAAACCCCAAAAAACGAGTTGTGTGGTCAAGTGCGTTTTAAAACTTGTTACCTCCTATAAAACTTTTTCTCAATGGCCTGAAGTGCCGCGACGGTTAATGGTTTGCAAAATTTCTGTGGAAATGTCACAGCTATTTTTACCCTGATTCATCAGCCGGTTTCACTTCGTAGAAACCGTCTGACCTCGCAGCATTAGAATTTGTTCGCTCGACGGTAGGCTGGTACTTTTTTTTTATTTAACCAATCGCTGCTATTTGGTTGTGACGTATGTAATGAGCGACTAATGGGGCAAACTGTTATATTAAGCTTTTCCCAAATCCCGTAGGAAGAAGGACAAAAATCTTTCCACTTGATAAAATTCACCAAACATTCTCTTTGTTCCGGCTTTAAATCCTCAATCTCGGTAATTGTTGACAACACAGAATATATGTCTCTTCTCTGATTGGCTGGTGCTGGAACTCACACTTCCAGGGTTTTTGTGAACTGTCTAGTGTATTCTGATTCCTGACCTAGTCGCTGGGGAGAAATAAAATTGAGCAGAGGCACTAGGTGGCGCCAGCCTGGCTAGCGTATTTTCCACCAGCTTCATAAATCTGCCCCATCACCAAATCTTCAACCAACAAGGTCGACAAAGGATAAACATTCATCCATGATGAAGTTATCCACAACTATCAAGGTAAGAAAGATGAAAACTTAAAGGCGAACAACGACGATACATTAGTGAACTACTCCTGAGCAAAACTATTATGATTAGAGCCCGACCGATCGGCCGAATTGAGCACCTGGAAGCATATCGGCTATCGGCCGATATACTTGCTGATAGGGGCCGATATTTCACGTGGGCATGTTATACGTCGTTATAAAGCTTAGACTCTCTACATTATGTTCATTTAATACAATTTACAGTCAGATAAATGTCCAAATATGTGGCTCCGCATCAGTATTTATCTGCGGAGTAATTTGTCTGTGTGAGAGTCACGTGTGTTTGTTTACATCCGCAGACACAGATCCAAACACTGGGATTATTTTCTTTTTACGGACAATCGGTTTGAGTCTGGATTAAAAGGACATTTATTAGTTCAGACTTGTGATGTGAGGAGGAGCCTGTGTGAGCGGTGAGTGTTGGAAATACATCGACTTTGAAGCAAGTTTTTGGTTAGCGGTTAGCTGCTGTAGCTCCCACACATAAATAGGCCGTTTTCTATTGGTCTATTGTAAAGTGACTATATTGGCCATATATGTTACTGGACCTGCAATGATATGTAAATGAGCTGTGAATAGACGTGTGAATGATGAAATTTGCGCATATAATTAATTACCGCGGCACGCAGCTTTTACGGCTAAAGGCTAATAGCAATTGTTTATTTACTCGCTAGTAGTGATGGGTCGTTCGCGAACGAAGCGGCTCTTAGATCCGGCTCTTTGAAGCGAACGACGGGAGCCTGATCCTTATTGGGAGCCGTGTTTTCTCTTTCTCTCACTTTTTTCTCTTCATGCCACGTGCAGACTCGTGGTAGTTTGACAGCAGCAGCGGCTAAAACGAAACTTTCAAAACTCTGCGTGTGCATAGTGTAAAAAAAAACTTGCAAAAATATATTCAGCATAAAATAAATAAACCAGGACTAATCTTGGGGTCGAGAGAGGGAGAGAGATAGAGACCGAGTCCCGACACTCAGTCCTGGTTAAATTCTGGTTTAGTTCTGTTTTGCACATGAGTAGTTTTGCTCAGGAGTTGTTCACTAATGCTCGTCGTTGTTCGCCTTTAAGTTTTTGTCTTTCTTAGCTTGATAGTTGTGGATAAATTCTTCATGGACAGAATATTTCCTTTGTCGACCTTGTTGGATGAAGATTGTGTAACGTTTCTGGTGGAGGATCCATCAAATGCTTTTTTTTCTTCATGGAGATGTTGGTGTTGGAGATTGGGTTGTCTGGAATGTTTCACTCTATGGTGTTAAACCTTTCTATCTTCACGGAGACCAAACCAGACCAAGTTACAGGTCAGATCTGTGGAGAGGCGACCCCACTCACAGTCAGTCTAGGTATTTTTGAGCTATAAAACCTTCTGTGATTGAATAAATGTGAAGTAGATCTGTTGAATGTCAAACCAAGAAGTTACACCGTGCACATTTAAAGTTTGATCAAGACTTTGCTCTATTGAAATTTTGTCTTTTTTTTTTGTTTGCTATTTTTAAGAGTTCAAAGAAAGAAACAAACATTATCTTGCAAAATCACTTTTTAGACATCTGCCACCGAAGTGTGCAATGTGTGATTTCCTTTCTGAAGCTGCGTTTTGCATTTGCACCTCTTCAAGTCTCCGCCGCTGTGTCTCAGTTTCGGTGAAGTGCCCTGACAATAGCATCATGAGTCACAGTGACTTTTTAAAAATCCAAACAGGAAGTTGAAAAAAAGAAGTTGTGAAACAGAAGTGCACATCGAGACATGTGACTGTTTATTTTAGTTTGGCATACATCATTGTTTGACATTGTTGAAAAATCATACAGCGTTTGTTACTTAATATTATCAGTGGTCTGAAGTTTGTAAAAATGAGCAATAATTTTCCTAACGTTGACTTTTTTTTGTGTCTGCAGGGATTGGTTATGCCTCCATCGTGATCGTGTCTCTGCTCAACATCTACTACATTGTCATCCTGGCCTGGGGAGTCTACTATCTGTTCCAGGTAAGACTTCGAGAACCATTTTCACTGGCAACGCGACTGAAAGGTGATTAGTTTAAAGCAGAGTGACCAGATGTCCCTATTTACCCGGGGCAGTCCCAGTTTTGAGCCCTGTGTCCCCTGTACCAGCAGATTTATACAAAACCACTGATTTGTCCCAGTTTCATACAAGAAATGTCCCAGGTGTCCCTGTTTTGGACCAACCTGATCTAAATCAGGTCTAAACCAGGACTAAACTAAAACTGAAACAGGACTAAACTAAGACTAAACCAACACTAAAACATGACTGAACCAGGATTACACTAAGAACAAACCAGGGCTAAACTAAGGCTAAACCAGGACTACACCAGGACTAAACTAAGACTAAACCAGGACTAAATGAGGACTAAACTAAGACTAAACCTGGAATAAACCAGGACTAAACTAAAACTAAACCAGGACTACATCAGGTCTAAGAAGGACTAAACCAGGACTAAACTAAGACTAAACCAGGAATAAACCAACACTAAACCAGGACTACATCAGGTCTAAGAAGGACTAAACCAGGACTAAACTAAGACTAAACCAGAAGTAAACCAAGACTAAACCAGGAATAAACCAACACTAAACCAGGACTACATCAGGTCTAAACCAGGTCTAAACAAGGTCTAAACCAGCTCCAGACCAGGACTAAACTAAGACTAAACCAAGACTAAATCAGGACTAAAACAGGATTAAACTAAGATTAAACCAGGACTAAACCAGGACTACATCAAGTCTAAACTAAGACTAAACCAGAAGTAAACCAAGACTAAACCAGGAATAAACCAACACTAAACCAGGACTACATCAGGTCTAAACCAGGACTAAACAAGGTCGAAACCAGGTCCAGACCAGGACTAAACTAAGACTAAACCAAGACTAAATCAGGACTAAAACAGGACTAAACCAGGACTAAATCAGGACTATCACAATTCTTGACTAATCAGATCCCCGCCAGCAGTAAAGAGGAGCAGAAATTATCCTTTGTTTGGCCAAAATTTAGAAATCAGTGTTTGCAAATGACCATAAAGCAAAAAAAAAAAAAAAAAAGAAGCATCAGAAGCCCTCAGATTATGACTGACACTAGAATGCACAATGTTACACGCTCTTCTCACTGTTTTATTTATACCAACCATCCCCACCCGAGCGTGTCCCAGTTTAGCATTTTGAAAATCTGGTCACACTAGGTTAAAGCTCACAAGAGTCAGTTTTGCTTTTACACTTATATCATGCACTAGAGACTAAGCGATGACATTTTCGGGAGGCAGACCCAGCCCGTTTCCAAATAGAAAGTGAGCATGGGCGCTTCACTTTGCATTAAAAAACGTCACCCCTCTCTCTGTACCTGCCTTTTCATAATATAAAACTGGGTCCAAATTCGCTCCTGTTACCGCAAACTTCGATGAGCTTCATTTGACTGGAGCTGAACGCTGTGGGAGACGTCACGCTCCTTTACTCCACTTCTTTACACGGTCTATAGTTGATACTCTTATCACAGTTAGCCTACTTACCAACTGACTTTGTTGTTGTAATTTCTCGTGAACATTAGCCCTATGGTAAATCTGGGTCAGGCTGTACATTACTACGCTACACGCTGAGAAAATAAAACACGCCGGTTGCTTGCTTGACGTTTTCGGAAGTTATTTATGGAGATAAGATAGCTCAAGGTTAAAGTTCGAACGTGACAAATGGGAGCAGTTTGTCCGTGTTTATGTAAACTACTGTAGGACACGCTGAATGGAGATCACTGTGTTATTCAGGACAATTAATTAGATTGAATAACAATTACGAGACAAAGTCATTGTCGCCAGATCTGGTCACTAGGGAACAGTAATAGAATAAATTAATTCCTCAGGTGCAATTATCAAGCATTATAGTTCAAGGTTATAATTTGAATCTTATAGTCTATAGACTTAAAGGTCTTATAATACACAAAATAGACTCTTGTGAGCTATAAGTCATGTTAAAATCTTATTATACTTCATCAAAAACATACCTTGAGTTGTGTTTTGTTTCACTTTGACACACTCACACATGTTTGAGTCTGTCTGTAGCCCCAAAATATAATGAAAGAAAGGCAATAACGTCTTTCCCCTTGACAAAATTCATCAAACATTCTCTTTGTTCTGGCTTTAAATCCTCGATCTCGGGAATCATTGCCAACACAGAATGTCTGGCTTTGTCTACATCCATCTCGACTGCTTTGTTTACTGTTGTGCTGTACCACAAAAGGGACTCAGACAGGGCCTTGAGTTTGATGTCATGGCTTCACAGGTCTTCATTGATTGGCCAGTGCACTGTCTACAACTTCCGGGGTTTTTGCAAACCATCCAGTGTATTCCAATTCCTGACCTAGTCGCTGGAGAGAAATGAAATTGAGCAGAGGCACTAAGTGGTGCCAGCCTGGCTAAGGACATGGGGAACAAGAAAAAAACATTTAACATATGATTTCATTGTAAACTTCTGCGAGCAGATGAGGATTATATTGATATTACATAGTGAAAAAATATGTTGCACTTCGGGAAGATCGATAAAATGACATGAACAAGGCCTGACATCTGGTCTTATATATTCATATTTCATTTTATTACGATATAGAATGCTGATTTTCTAACTCAATACATCACAGTTTCCACCGAGAGAATGGGAAGCTCGAGCTGGAACTTTCAGGCCAGGGGGATGCTCGATCCAGTATCCCTCAAAATGCTTTCTTCTACCTTGTGATGTCATGAAGTGGTAGTTTTAAAGTTAACAGCAAGCTTTTACCTTTTCTTCACTAGAGATCGGCAATTCCACAGCTGAAATTATCGACATTTTCTAGTGAAGGTGTATGGAGTTTAAAAACACAGTGGAGCTCTTCTTACCACATGACATCACAAGGTGGAACAGAGTGTTTTCAGTTGTGTGTTAAACATGTGTGAATGAAACAAAACACAACTCCAGGTCTATTTTTGATAAGGAAACAACATTATAACATGGAGAATCTGAAAATATGGGCTCTTTAATACATAAATTATATATATATATATATATATATATATATATATATATATATATATATATATATATATATATATATATTTTTTTACGTTTATTGTCTTTTTTAAATCTGTAAACGATTCTGCTCATAAATATTCATCACGAGACAACAGTGTCGCCGTGACAACCGTGAAGCTAAATGTAGAACATGTCCCGGAGGACACTGAGCTCCAGGTATCTCCAGGGGGCTCTTGTATCTAAGAAATACCCCAACTGTGAAAAACGCACTTTATGTTTATTCTTTTTTTTAAAGGTACAGTACATCAGTTAAGCAAAAGTACTTACGTTTACTGAGTTAGACGTGTTCAACCTGCCTGCAAATGTGAACAAGGCAGCCCAAAATGACATGTTAAAGATGTACTATGTCACTTTTTGGTTGGGGGTCTGTCTGGAATGTTCCACAGTGTGACATTAAACAGCTCTGCTTTACTTTATTCAATTACAGGTGGTTTTATAGCTCAAAAATACCTAGAAAAACAGGACTGACTGTGAGCGGGGTTGCCTCTCCACAGATCTGACCTGTAATTTCTGGCTTGGTCTCCGTGATGATAGAAAGATAACAATAACATCTCCACGGAGACATTTGGCGTACCCTCCACCTTAAAAAGTTACACAGTGCACCTTTAAAGTGGGACTAAGCACCTGTCTGTGATCAGGGCAGTCTTTTGTAATGTCACCATCTACTTGGCTCACTTAGATTCAGACATTTTTCACAAAGCTGCATATTTACCTAGTCTGCAGTAAAGTCACTGTACAGATAATGCTGTTAAAACAACATATACACAGTTTATTAGTGAAAACAAAAGTGTATTTAGTGTTTAGTTCCACTTTACAAGATGCACTAGAATGACCCGGGCGTGTTTTTCTAATATGCAGGAGACATAAAAGGACATCAAATATGTCCTTCATAAAATACTGTTTTGAAATACTCAAACAGGCGCTTATGAAGGGCATATTTGATGTTAATTAGCAGTGCTTATAAAACATGTCTATCTGAATCAGCCCATGTCAACAAAGACATGTTTGCCCCTAAGACATTGTTTGTATCAAATACCAAACGGTGCATAAACGGCTCTTTCCCATGGTCAGGCATGTTTGAGAAAAATATCAATGAAAATGATACACTCAACCAAGACACGGCTCTGCACGTCAAACACCAGATTTACACTTGGTTTTTGTTATGATCACATTTGTAGGCCCAGATTTTAATATTGTTTTTATCTTGATTTAAGCTCTATTAAGGTTTTGATTGTCATTAATATACATAGTTACTACCATATGTATGTACTTTATATTAAAGGGCCCATATTATTCTATTTTCTGATCTATGTTATCAGGCTTTTTCCTCATCAAAAACAAACCTGGAGATATGTTTGACACACAGGTTTAACATAGAAATCCTGCAGATGTAGGCGAAGTTCTTACAGTAGACAAAGGTACCGTTTCATGACGTCACATGATGTAGACATAAGGATTACACTAACATGCATGAATGAAACAAAACACAGCTCCAGGAGGAAACAATATTCTAACATGGCTTAAAACTCACAAGTGCCAATTTTGTGTGCTTTATTTTTCGGATTATAAGTCACTCTGGAGTAAAAGTTGCACCAGCCAAAAATGTGTATGAGTAATGAAGTCACACTTTTGGGGAGAAATTTATATTATAAAATCAGAGACCAGGAATCAGCATTTCATCTTGAAAAGCAAGTTACAGTAAAAACAACAGAACAGACAACAACAGACTGTTAATGTCACATATGAACAGTTCTTCAGATAACTATAATATAAACAACAGAACAGAACAAGTTTACTAAACTCTCTATCTCACTCCAAATCACTAAATTCACTGAATTCTTCATCCTCTGTGTTACTTCTGAGCAACTCCGCGACTTCCGAAGGTAAACAGAGCGCCGCTTCCTCTTCTGTGTAGCTGTCGTCAGACTCAGCATCAGTTCCAGTTAGAATTATTCTAGCCTTTCCGAATCCTGACAGGATGGTTTCGGTTGTCTTTATGTTTGTTTAAATGTTAAAATTTCAGTGATACAGAAGTAAAGGTGCGATTGACTGACAGGATTGACAGACAGGACAGGAGCTCTTTCTGCAGGAGACATGCTGTTACGACCGAGGAAGATGAGTCTCAACATATTTTAAAAGGACACAGAGACCAAATTAAAGATTAGAGTCCTTTTATTCTTTCTTTCTGTAGAGATGCTTTTAAACCCAAAAAGAAACCCTTAACCCGTGACCAAACCAAGAAAGTAACAACGGAAAGGTGGACCTGATGATCTGGCCAAAAAGAACAAAAGGGTGCGACACCGGGCCAACCCTATACAGGGCCGTAGGAGCCGGTGCCAGCAGCTGTAACTAAGGCCTAAAAAAACCCAACAACCTAAACCCAACAGAAAAGTGAAAACAGGACAGCCGGTCCCACCAGGTCAAAACAAAAGGCTAACGGCTAACAAAAAAGCTACCCGAACGAAGGAGCAGGGGAGCCAGCGGGGCGGCTCCCGGCGTGAGGCGTGCGCGCTCCGGTACCTGCAGCGGCGACGAACGAGGAGGAGGAGAGAGCAAGAGAGCGAGGCGCATTTAAGGACTCCTGCCGGAAATGAGTACAAAAAAAATACAAAAACATAACCAACTTACAAAAACAAAACTAGGCAGAAATGCTACAAAAACATATAAACAATAAAAAAAAAAACTGGGAGAAAGCCAAAATGTGCCCAAACGCAACACATGCACAGTAGAGCAAAGTGACAGTGGTACAGGAGTTATAGGAGCAGCAGATAATGTTAATATATAAGTCAAGGACCACCCAAACCATTCAAAAAAGTGTGACTTATAATCCAAAAAAATACAGTATATAGACCCTTTAATACGTTGGAGTAATATTACCATGCAGGCTCTTTTTTCATATCATGCCGTTTCTGTGTGATATCTATATTAATAAGATATTTTTTTAGTAAAGGTGCTCTTGTTGGTGTGTATTTTCTTAATGAAGCTGTCCTTCATGTTGAAAGCATCAGTTAGTTTTCCATCATGTCCCTGTTTGTCTTGATGCAGACTTTAATCCAAATGAAATGAGCTGAGCCTGTGTGTGGACCAGGTCTGAGGGAGCACAAAGGCGCCTGTGATCTGCCTGTGAGCCCAGAATAAAAGGATTTAAAGCATATTATTTACAAGAGCCCGCTTTGATTAAAGTGCTCCAACAACAGAGCTTCAGTCCAGCATCAGGAGACAAAGAGCCAGTTCAGACAGGAGTATGTGTTCAAGGTGCATGGAAATTTTCAGAATCATTGTCCCAAAAATGTTGAGATTTATTTTATATACTGTGCTCTTCATTCTGATAAATCTTCCACTCAGATAACATGGAATATTTTTTACACTTTTGAGAAAAAAAACAAAAACATTAAAAATTCTCCCCAATGTTAACACTCACCAGCAGAGGGCGATATAAAAGCAGCATACGTTTTTATTTTCAGGATCCCATGAACAAAGTTTGCAAAGTTACAGAAGTTCTCGAGTGTTTAAAGCGGTTTTATTTCAGATTTGTCGAAGTAGTTGACTGATTTTGTTTGTTTTTTTTCCCAGTGTTTCCAGAAGGAGCTGCCCTGGGCTCGCTGTAACCACCCCTGGAACACCGAGCGCTGCATCGAGGACACGTATCGAAAGAACAAAACCCTGTGGATGGCCGCCAACGCCACCAGCCTCTCCAACTTCACCTCCCCCGTCACCGAGTTCTGGGAGTGAGTCCATGTTCTGTCCATCTACATCAGGAGAACGTTTGAAGATCAGGCAGAAATCAGGCTGCAGTTTTGAACAGAAAGTTAGAAAACCCAATGTTCAAGGGCCTATATTACGCAAAATTTACTCGTGGGCTTTAAGTCATGTCATAATGTTGTTACTTTATCAAAACATATCTGGAGTTGTGTTTCATTTCATTCCTTTTTTATTAGTCTGTCAACAATTACGTTTATATGAACAGAAGACGCAAAAGCGGCGTCGCGTCTTCACTTTTATTCCGCGTTTAGACGAGTGTTTTCGGGAGGAAATCTGCGTGCATACGGTGACGCAAAAGTGTGTGGAATTTGATTAGGTATGCATGCCAGACGGCTCAGTTGTGATGTATGTTACGTAAACTCGTACGCGACGCGAGCATATCTGACCAGAGTTTTGCGTTTTGGGGAGTGTAGACGGAAACGCTACGGTGATTTCAGATTTTTGCACTTTTAAGCCCCAAAAACGCCATCACCGTCTAAACGAAACACACTTCTGGTAAAATATTTTGTCGCTTTTACCCGCAAGCGTTCTCGTGTAAACTGGCCCTACATTTACAAAGTTCTTGTGGTGTCATGAAGTGGTAGTTTTCAAGTTAACAGCGAGCTTTTACTTTTTGTTCAGTAGAGATTGGCAATTCCAGGATTTAAATTATTCAAATGATAATTTAAAAAAAAAAAACAGTGATGCGCACTTTCTCTATAGCCTCATGACATCACAAGTTGGAACAGAGTGTTTTCTGTTTGAGAGAAGAGCCAAGAGCCTGAATACACAGTCTCCCCCAATAGTTAGTGAACTCCAAAACATTTAAACGCATTTTTTCGTAGTATTTTTTTTCGTAGTAGTAATTCATGTGCATTGCCTTGAGTCTGATAAATACGATAAATATCACGATTCACATGTCACGGATCAATATGTCACGATATATCCCGAAACTAAAACAATGGATGATATATTGTGATTTATCAATAATTACTTCCAATAATACACTCAACTTCACTTTCAAGAGAACACAACTAAACACAATTGATTAAAACCATGAAAACAGTGAATTTTTTTTTTTTTTAAATCCATTCGAATCCATTTGGAATCAATTTGAAAATTTTGCAATGAAGTATTATTTTTTCATACACACCCAGTAACTGCCTTGACAGACTTCACAGGAATCAAAGTAGGGACAATTTTTTGCTATATCTCAACTCTATTTTCTAACCAAACTCTTGTATTTTTTTTTTATTTACAGACACAACGTACTGGGAATCACCAGTGGGATTGAGGACATTGGTCAGATCAAATGGGACCTGGCCCTGTGCCTGCTGCTGGTCTGGGTCATCTGCTTCTTCTGCATCTGGAAGGGGGTCAAGTCCACTGGAAAGGTGCCCACCCACTCTGTCCCCTCACTGATCTATCAAAGTCTGTTAACAGCGCTGTTGGTGTGAAGCTAACTGTAGGCACTGCTCTGTCTGAAGCTCTGTTACTCAAATTAGACTTTATTTTGAGCTTTATTTGAACACACTGGCCTGTTATTCTCCTTTGAGTTTACATGGAAATAAGAATTCAGAATTGAGGTTTACATGAAAAACGCGTTAAATCGGCTTTATGTAATTCCGCTCAACGTCTGGGGGTCGGGAAGGGTTCTGATTGGACAAGGACACGAGCGTATTTACGTCGACTGGAAGAAAACACACACTTCAGCTGCTACCGGCTTTTTTGTCATCTCGATTTGTCGTTACGCCACGGACACAAACATGATATGAACTTACGTCTGTCAGCTGAGGAGGAGAAGGGAAGAGTGTCGGAGAAGACAAACTGAGTCAACGACTGCTCAACCTCGGCCCACTCCCGCATCCTGCTTTCAAATCCAAAGCGCAGTGGATGAAAGCTCCTCTTCCACCGTACTTACTAAAAAAAATGTTTCGGTTCGAGACCAACGTTTGCTTCGTGCCGCCATCTTGCGACGTGCATGCACTAAAACGACCGGAATTATTTTTTTAAATGTTTACATGACCGAGGAATAAATGAATTTGGCTTTAAAATCTGAATAAACCACCCAATTGAGAATAAAGTTTCATTCCGAATAAGTTTAAATTAAGTGTTTATGTGTTTACATGGTCTTTATAAAGCAAAATTAATTTTTATTTTGAATCAAATCCTTTTTAATCGGAAATAAAGCTCTCGTGTAAATGTGACAATTCTGACAAGAAAGAGGTGGTTTATTTAGAACTACTACAGGTGAGATGGTTTATGCTCTTAAAGGTGCATTGTGTAACTTTTCTCGTACTACAATGTTCCACATTATGACATTAAACAGCTCAGACTTTATTTATTCAATTAGAAGTGGTTTTATATCCCAAAAATACCTAGAAAAACAGGCATTCTGACTGTGATCGGGGTCGTATCTCCACAGATCTGACCTGTAGCTTGGTCTAGTTTGGTCTCCATGAAGATAGAAAGGTTTAATACCATACTGCGAAACATTCAAGACAGACCCTCCACCAGAAAAGTTACCCAATGCACCTTTAAAGAGTTTCACACCCACAGTTCTGAGGTTCAGATTCAATCCTTCTTAAATAAGGTTTAAAGAAACACATTTATGGCACGATCGATAAAAAGAAACTATTGCTCTGTACGGCTCCTCAGCAGGGACAAACCTCAGGCCTGCCCACACTGTATCACGTTCGCCTGTTGGCAGAGCGGTGACCACACGCGGCCCCGTTCTATCGACTTTACCACCACCGTTAAACCATCGAGCACGACTCCAGCCTCACTGATCAATACCGGGATGGGGTGAGGAAAACAGACATCTTGGGGTGGCTTCGGTGCTTTTGTGGCTTTTAAACAGACTTATGTAACATTCTGGTTGGGGGTTTGTCACCTGCTTGTCATTTCTCTGCCTGGAATATTCCACAGTATGACATTAAACAGCTCTACTTTGGATTTATTAAATTCCGTGTGGTTTTATTGCTCAAAAATACCTAGAAAAACAGACATTCTGACCTGTAACTTAGTCCGGTTTGGTTTCCACAAAGATAGAAAGGCTTATTATTATGCTGTGAAGCCTTTGACAGACCCTCCACCAGAAAAGTTACACAATGCACCTTTAAATCCACTGTATTTTTAAGATAAGGTCCTATATTACACAAAATTGATTCTTGTGAGCTTTGAGTCATGTTGTAATGTTGTTATCTCATGAAAAACAGACCCGGAGTTGTGTTTTGTTTCATTCACACGGTTGAGTAATACTTTATTATCAGTCTGTCTACATCTCCAAAGCTCTACATGCTTTGTTCCTCATTGTGATGTCATTTAGTGTGAGGTTTCAGGTTAACAGCGACCTTTTACCTATGGGCTATGTTTATTCTGAAACAAATCACTGTATCACCGCATCGGAAACGATTTGCATCCAGACATGTCGTTTCTGTGTCCTCAAGCCTCCCCCATCCACACAGCTTTGAACATATTTGTTTACGTTTTACAGAAACAAAACTTAAAACTACATGGCTAATTTGTATAAACTAAGAGCTCAAAAAAACAGCTCGCTATTGTGCGCTGATGTGGCTCAGTGGAATACGAGTGTTCTTTCTGTGACAGAGGGGTGTTCTGCTGATGGTGAGTCTGTTCTGGGCTTCTATCATGTTAGAGATGGTTCATGTTGTATCAGCGTTTTCAGGCGTCCACATGGTGCCGGATGGTAAATGGTAAATCAGATGAATTCGTGGGAACTGGCAGCACCAGATTGTTCCATCTCTGGAGCGGTTTTCCATCAGATTAGTGTGGACGAACACTGCATCCACAATAAAAACGACTCGAATTCCCACTAGTGTGGATGGGACTTGAGCTGAGTCGAAATGGCAATTCCAGGGCTGAAAACATCCAACTGAGGGCCTGTTTACACGAGAACACTTAAAAATGACAAAATATTTTATCAGAAATGCCTTTCATTTAGACGGTGACAGCATTTTTGGGGCTTAAAAACGCACAAATCTGAAACCACCCTCCAGAGTGGAAAAGTTGAATATGCTCCCCCGTAGTGTTTCCGTCTACACTGCCCAAGACGCAAAACTCTGGTCAGATCTGCTCGCGTCACGCACACGTTTACGTCACATACATCACAACCTAGTGTCACCACAGAGCCTCTTGGCATGCATACCCAATCGAATTCCACACACTTTTGCGTCACTGTATGCACGCAGATTTCCTCCCGAAAACGCTTGTCTAAACACGAAATAAAAAGTGAAGATGCGACGCCACTTTTGCGTCTTCTGTTCAGACCATCATCATATAAACGTAGCCTGATTCTAGCAAAGTCGTATGGAATGTAAAAAAAAAAACAGTGGAGCATTTCCTTTATTACGACATGACATCGGTGTTTTTCAGTATGACAGAAGAACTCAGCCTGAATATGTAGTTTTTGCATGTTAAACATGTGTGAAACAAAACACAAATCCAGGTCTGTTTTTGATGAGGAGAACGTAGATCAGAAAAAAAGCCCTTAAAACATATTTCAGAGTCAAAAGTCGGAATCATATGCCGGTAAAAACAACTCACTTGGTCAACGTGAGTCAACAGGTGATAGCAAAGGGGAAGTTGCCAGCTAAGCCTACCAGTGAAACCAAATTCGCCTATCACATACACTCCTCTGCAAAAAACAAATATTTCTTACAGTAAACTACCAGGATGTGTAAGTTCCAGAGTAGTTCCACCTTCCCGAGAGACACTTAAGACGGACTTTTATAGGAGCTGAGTCAGCACCAGGCCTGTTTACACTACTTGGATGAGTGGTCACATGTTTTCACTGTAAAAGCATTTGTCCAGTTAACAAAATTTAATCTACACAGTTTTTTTATGATGATGGATTACACTGTTAAGTCTGGAGATTATGTTATACTTCATACACTTAAGTTCACAAAGCAACCATCCAGGCACAATGAAGGGTTCAGGTTCATATTAGGTCTTAATTAGGGGTGTGCAAAAATATTGAAATATCCATATATCATATTGTTTAATGCAGGGGTGTCAAACTCATTTTGGTCTGGGGGCTGTATCCAACCTGCTTTGATCCCAAAGGGGCCAGAAAACTCATGGCATATATACCCCAAAAATAGCAATAAGTTCAAATATTTGTGCAGAGAAACACAAATCTATTACAGTAATCTTTTACAAAATATTATAATATTATGAACAACCTAAAACTTTAAGAAAAATGCAATTTCAACACGATGTTTTAACCTTAACTTGTGTGCAAGTAGGAATAAGTCAATTTTTCTTGGGAAATCCTGTGCTTGGCGTTCTTATTTTTGTCATTTTGCTGATGAGGGCATAACGGTCAACAGTCAAAACGATCGTCCTTTAAGAGCGTTTGGAAAGAGGCAAGACTTACTTTGTGCTGCTCTGATGGAAGGGGCCACGCACAGAGGCGCTGGAGACGCTGCTATGATAAGAGCCGCAGAAAATTACCGATATTTTAATAGAAAATATAATTAAAATATTTTTGTAGAAAATCAGCCGAGGGCCAGATTAAAGGTCTTGGAGGGCCGGATGTTTGACACTCCTGGTTTAATATGATGATATAGTATTAATATCATGGGCTGCTGTTTTGATATATCGCCAAGAGGATTATTTGGTATATTTTACTAAATTATTTTGTTACAGCTACAGTTTTGTTGTTTGTTTAGAGAAAGGGAACTCGTTTATGTGACACATTTGACATTTTCACTGTTTTGATGAGTAAAATGTTTGTGTTTCATATGAAAGTTGCACAAGAAGTGGTTTAACAAAGACTTTTAGTATCACAACCATGATTTAATCTTTTTTTTTTTTTTAACTGTTTCGAATTGACTTGAAATATATCGTATCGAATCGAAAGTGCACTGTATTGAGATATGTATCGTATTGGCAACTTCTTAATGATACCCAACCCTAGTCCTAATATTACACAAAAAAACTCCCCAAAACATACCCAGAGTTGTGTTTTGACATTCACACATTTGAGTAATTCTTTATTATTAAGTCTGTACATCTCCAAAATGCTTTGTTCCACCTTGTGATGTCATGTAGTGGTAGTTTTCAAGCTACTTTTTACCTTTAGTTCAGTAGAAATTGGCTATTCCAGAGCTGAAATCTTCCAAATGATTCTAGTGAAGGTGTGTGGAGTTTAAAAACACAGTAGAGTAGTTCCTGTATTGATCACAGAGTGTTTTCAGTTTGAGAGAAGAACTCAAACCACAACTTCAGGTCTGTTTGTGACGAGAAAACATTATAACATAGATCAGAAAATAGTGTAATATGAGCACTTTAACTGCAAAAACTAATGGAAACCAGGAATGTTTGCAACAAAATGAAATCAGCAGGTTCACAGGTTTGATATTTTACATAAAAAGACCACTGGGAAGCAGATAATTTGACATTTAGCTGCTTAAAATTTCCACCTTTTGTGATTTGCTCATTTGACCGACTAAACTGTGATTTCTGACGGACTGAAATTATTCACCGAATCCTAATAACAATGAATCTTTTGCGTCTGTGCTCAGGTGGTCTACTTCACTGCCACGTTCCCCTTTGTGATGCTGATCGTGCTCTTGATCCGTGGAGTGACTTTGCCCGGTGCTGCCGAAGGAATCAAGTTTTACCTGTACCCCGACCTCAACCGCCTCAAGGACCCGGAGGTGAGAGACTCCTCCTGCCACACGCTGAGCTATGATAACAGGCTAATGTTGTTAAGATCATAGACTGTAAATGGACATATCTAAACCGTTAGCTGCTGTATTACAAATATGCACTGTTGGGAAGGTTACTTTTCAAATGTATTCCCCTACAGATTACAGATTACATACCCCAAAATGTACTTTGTAACGTAATCCATTAAATTACTTAAAGTGAGTAACGTAATCTGAATACTTTGGATTACTTGATTTGCTGTAGAGGAGCAAAGACGAGGAAATCTTCACGTAAGAAGTTTTGTCTGATAAAAGACAATGAAAAGTCCAGTCTTTACTTATTATTATATAAAAAATATTATTGATAGAAGACGAGGAGACACGTACGCGCAGCATGATTTAGTCCTGTTAAATCCTGTTTTAGTCCTGGTTTAGTCCAGGTTTAGACCTGGTTTTAGACCTGTTTAGACCTGGTTTAGACCTGGTTTAGATCTAGTTTAGTCCTGATTTTAGTCCTGGTTTAGTCCTGATTTAGACCTGGTTTAGACCTGGTTTAGATCTAGTTTAGTCCTGATTTTAGTCCTGGTTTAGTCCTGATTTAGACCTGGTTTAGACCTGGTTTAGATCTAGTTTAGTCCTGATTTTAGTCCTGGTTTAGTCCTGCTTTAGACCTGGTTTTAGACCTGGTTTAGGTTTAGTTTAGACCTGGTTTTAGACCTGGTTTTAGACCTGGTTTTAGACCTGATTTAGTCCTGGTTTAGTCCTGGTTTAGCCCAAAATGTGAAAACAGGAAAATACCGCCGTGTAATCCATTTATTTCAACAATGTAACTGTAATCCAATTACCACTCACTGAAACAGTAACTGTAACTGAATACAGTCACTCAAATACAAATACTCATAATTTGTACTCTAATTACGTAACTCCGGTACATGTAATCTGTTACTCCCCAACACTGCAAATATGAAGCGCGGGTGGCCGTGATTCGACTTCATCGACTCCAATTTACTTTACACTGGAAAATTGTAACGGCGCTCTGTAAATGCTGCTGTGAGCCTCGTCATTTTGGTCTTAAAATGTTCGTATTAACCCGCTCGACATGATCCTGGGGTTTTGTCTTGCGTATTCTCCACTAGCTTCATAAATCCATCAAATCCCCATCACCAAATCTTCATTCAAAGCCTGAACATTTTTCCATGAAGAATTTATCCACAACTATCAAGGTAAGAAAGACGAAATCCCAAAGGCGAACAACGACGTGCATTAGTGAACTACTCCTGAGCAAAACTAATGTTATAGTTATGAATAGAAATGGGCATTCGATGAAATTTTATGAATCGATCATCGGGAGAATTAACGATTTTTGATTAATCATTAACATTTTTATATAAGAAGTATCATTATTATTACTATTACTCATCTGCATAAATAAACTCAACTTTACAATATATAAACCAGAACCACTACAGAGCCACATCAGCCCGTTTGACATTATCATGTGTTTAATGCAGCTTTGCACAAGTCTTACAGAAACAAAACTTAAAACCGCATGGCTCATTTGCGTAAACTAAGTGAAAAAAAAAAAAAACACTCTTGTGCACTGATGCGGTTCAGCTTCTGTCGGACTAAAGGACACGACTCAGTGGAATATGAGTGTTCTTTCTGTGACAGAGGAGTGTTGATGCTAAAGGTGAGTCTGTTCTGTGTGTCGTGATGTTTTCAGAGATCATACTGTACGTGTGCAGGTTTAGCACAACTCTTTATGCTGTAGTAACCGGGCTACAGATGTGCATGCAAACACACTCACTCAGTAGCACCGTGATCTCCAAGGAGCCAGAGCCCAAACGTGGGACTGAGGCCGCAACTCCAGTGTTTGTGTTGTCAGACGCAGCGTCATATCTACGCCCAGAAACCTACATTCGGTTTGTCGATTAGAAATGAACGCAATCGACGAAATTCTTAATGATCAATTATCGATGAGTCGACTAATCATGCCCATCCCTAGTCATGAATAAAACTTAAGTAAGTTGTTAACTTTAAGTGCTTGACATGTAATCTGTGAACATCTGCAGCATTTGAACTGCACAAATCTCCCTGTCTATGCCAATATCTACATCATCAAATCGATTTAAAATTTTAATTGTAGAATCAGTCTGAGTGAACAAGTTGCTTATTGATGAATTATTTATTACTTATGTTTTATTCATGACCGTAACATTAGTTTTGCTCAGGAGTAGTTCACTAATGCATCGTCGTTGTTCGCCTTTACGTTTTCGTCTTTCTTAGCTTGATAGTTGTGGATAAATTCTTCATGGACAGAATTTGTCCTTTGTCGAACTTGTTGGATGAAGATTTGGTGATGGGACAGATTTATGAAGCGGGAGGAAAATACTCAAGACATTTCCACAGATATTTTGCCATAGAAAAGCATTAACGTAAGTGACGTGTACCCTGGCCGTTGTGGTATTATCCTTAAGAGTGTACTGTGTAACTTTTCAGTAGTGGGTCCATCAACTTCTTGTTTCCATGGAAATGTCATTGCTCTGCTTGGAATGTTCCACAGTATGACATTAAACAGCTCTACTTTACATTTATTCAAGTACAGGTGGTTTTATTGCTCAAAAATACCTAAAAAACAGGCATTCTGACTGTGAGCAGGGTCGCCTCTCCACGGATCTGACATGTAACTTGGCCTGGTTTGGTCTCCATGATGAAAGAAAGGTTTAATACCAAACTGTGAAACATTCCAGACAAAGCAATAACATCTCCATGGACATAAAGTAGGCGGTGGACCTTCTACCAGAAAAGTTAGACAATGCAACGTTAAATTATTTTGTATTTTGAGCTGTTATAATTCTTAAATCAACATTTCCACTGCTGTAACTCAGAATATTATCCATAACATGATTATAAACTAGGGTGTGCCAAAATTTCACAATAAAAAACTGGGACATCCCGTTTTTTTTGGTGGCTGACAATTACAAAATTGTGAAAAGAGTGCGTAATCAAGGAACATTGTTTTGCAGAAACCATTTATGACTAACACGTGAGTCAGTATAGTCACAGTTTCTTTGTGTTTTGGTCGTTTCTAAGCAGCTTTTCTGTATTTTACCTAAACAGATGACAGTTTATGTGTCTATTTACTGTTGGCAGGGATCAAATTGGTCAAAAATAGGGGTAATTCTTGTATGAAAACTGGGACAAATCTCTGGTTTTGGATAAATCTGCTGGGACAGGGCTCAAAACTGGGTCTGTCCCGGGTAAATAAGGACATCTGGTCACCCTATTACAGCCAACAGAGCCTCAAATGACTAATTTACGCCCATTAGCCTGTTATCTTATTGCATTTCACTGTATTTCGCGTTGGTTTCTTTGGTCCCAACACCAGCAGGCCTCAGCCTTTTTGTCCCCGCTCTCTCCCCCCCTCACCCCTGACAGGTCTGGATTGACGCGGGCACCCAAATCTTCTTCTCCTACGCCATCTGCCTGGGTGCCATGACCTCTCTCGGGAGCTACAACAAGTACAAATACAACTGCTACAGGTGAGGCTGCGCTCGGGCGGGGGACTTTTTTAGCGGGCTGTTAGTATTTAGCGTCTTTTTAGCGGGTAAAAAAAGTGAGGGGGGTGACTGCTGTGTTCATTAACAAATCCTCCTCCATGACATATGTGTGATATAGGGACTGTTTGCTGCTGGGAGCCCTCAACAGTGGTACCAGTTTTGTGTCTGGATTCGCAATATTTTCCGTCCTGGGCTTCATGGCACAAGAGCAAGGGGTGGACATTGCTGATGTGGCAGAGTCAGGTACGCGGGTCTGTAAAGGCGGCAGTGATGGTGGGCGCTGCTTCCTGGTTCAACTAATGAAATAACAAGTGAATACCACGTTAAAGAAAACAGCAACGAAAAGACAAAACACAAACCATTTGGTCATTTGGAAAAGAACGGATTCTATTGACAAAAGACGGCATCGGAATATGGGAGTTTTCCGCAATCAAACACCTTGAATAAGAGTGCATTGTAGCCACGATAATTCAGCAGCAAGACACCACACGTTGGAGAAGCAAGTTTTCCCCAAGAGAAATTATTTTACTTTGGATTTACTTTGCATAGTCGTCCATTTTGCCCCGTGACAGTGAATTAGAAGAAGAGAGCTGTCCGTCGGAGTTAGAATAGCGTAGGCTCTAGGCTAAACCTGAGTGGAGTACAGTAGGTGGAGAACATAGTGCATCTTGTGCCAGATGCCTCCAAAAGCTTGTTTTGAACTGGTGTTACCATTGCTGTGGTTCCTTCCATAAAAAAAGTACAATCCATGTTTTGCTTTGTGATTATAAAATGGCAAATGTTGTTTTTTGTACTATAATACCACTGCACCTGACATTTGTAGTGACCAGCTTTAGTTTTCCTAATGATTAATGCTGTTAATGTGATAAGAAGTAAACGGATTTACTTTGTATTTGAGAAGCGATGAACAGAAGGCTACAGCGCTTTGGGCAGGTCTATACAGTGCAGTCAAAAGTAATAAACTCACCAAAAATAGACACATACAGAGACATAGGCCTCCATATTATAGCAAAGAGCATTTTTATACTGTTATACTGTTATATTCTCATCATTATAGCACAGAGCAGCCATAGTGTAATATTAACCCTGCAGATCACATCCTCTACAAAAGCAGCTCACATGAAGCTTTTACTTATAAGATAAAGTAACTTCAGACAGACTAGTGTCCGTATAGGCTACGAGTTTAGAAATGAAATGAATGCCGTTAAACATAAAAGGCTTTTAACTTAGGCCTATAGCAAAGGACAGAACAATAGTTCATTAGGCAAGACAAGGTGAGGCAAGTTTATTTGTGTAGCACAATCCGTACCCAAAGTGCTTTACAGAAAAGAAATACATGAAAATCACAATACAAACAGATCAAAATATAAGTAATCATGAAAACATTTTATAAATAAAAAAAGAGGGAGACATTAAATGAGAGAGAAGAGTGCAGAATGAAAACCTTTCAGTCTTACGCAGCTAAACAGAACTGTTGTGAGTCTGGATTTAATCAGGGGTGTCAAACTCAAATTCACAGGGGCTGAAATGAAAAACTGGGACTAAGTCGTGGGCCAAACTAAAGATTTACTGAAACGTTTCAACAACATCTGCATGTTTTCTCTTCTTTCAGGATATGTAATGTTAAACCTTTTCTTATTAAAATAAATATTTAATAATAGTTTTGCTTAAATATTGAATCCAGAAAAAAGTATAATATAAAATAATATCACAATTTTAAATAAATAATGTCTCTATTGCTGGGGTCTCCAACCTGTAGCTCGGGAGTTACTCGCCAAAGGATTTTGGAATTATACCATTGTACTGATGAATAACAGTTTTTTCTGTGTGTGTGTGTGTGTGTGTGTGTGTGTGCACTTACAGCAGATTTCACAGAGAAAAACAATTAGTAGTAATATAATGTGACGATTTTTTAAATTCCCTAAACCCCCCTTCCCATTACTCTCCTCCACTGTAATATCCAATCTCTATTGTAAAAAAAACAATAATACAAAAAAAATATATATTAATACATATATAAATAATAATAATAATAATAATAATAATAATAATAATAATAATAATTATTATTATTATTATTATTATTATTATTATTATAAAATAATCATAAAATAATCAAAAATATATATATATAAATTAAGAATAAATTAAATGACCATACCCAAAAGCTCACCCTCTTTCTTATAATCATCTAAATTTTTTGCGGCTGCTAAAATGAGTAGCTCTCTGGCATTTTTGTTTTGTAAAGGAGCTCACCACAGGAAAAAGGTTGGAGACCCCTGCTCTATAGTCTATCTGTATAGCTGCAGGCCAGCTCTAATACATATCTGAAATGATCTCGCGGGCCAAATATAATTATATCACGGGCCAAATTTGGCCCCCGGGCCTGAGTTTGACATGTCTGATTTAAACATAGTCAAAGTAGAGGCGTGTCTCACATGTTCAGGAAGACTGTTCCAGGTTTTAGCTGCGTAAAACTGAAACACTGACTCCCCGTGTTTAGTCCGTTAAACAATTTTGTGATACTAAATTGTATTCAGAGCTGCTGTGACAATATCGGTTCAAATTAAAGGCTCGTATTAATAATTATCGAAACCCCACATTGTTACTCAGACAGCACACTGCACTTCGAAGCCTGTAAACTGTAACGATATAAGGTTTTTATTACATTTTCAGGTTCCAATACGTCTATAAACAGCATGTATCTCATTTGTAGAATTACTACTATCCCTCTAGACAAGCCTATCATAGTATACACATATTTAAAGCACATACATTAGTCATTTTTAGTCCTAATTATTAATGCTGTTAATGTGATAAGACTTAGACAGAGTGACTTTGTGTTGGGATAGCGATGAACAGTGTAACACAGCACTGAGAGCTGACACAGCCCCGTCACACTGAGCTGTGAGTCAGCGGTGTTTGGTTGGATGGATGCCTCTAAAAGTGAACCACTACACTTCTGTCTGCTGATTCAGTGCCTCCTGCTCCTCACGTCTTTGGTTCTCCTCAACATTAAACTACGCCTATGACCAAAAAGAGGAAAACAATATACATAAAATAAACAAATAAAACATTAAAACAAGGCGTACATGTGATTGTAGCGGCTGCTGTTTTTTCCCGGCTCATTTTGCATTACACCTCCACCACACTGGGGCGATGCAAAATGTAGAGTGAAGTCTTTAGGTGGTGACTTACTGTGACTTTGGGAGGTGATGGACTTGGTTTGCTTTTTCCAAACTATGGGAAATGTGAATCATGCGCATCACGTGACAGTTTAGATTATTCTAGAGTAGCTGGTTTAATAGTTGAGAGTTTTTTATAGTTGGGACAGCCATTTTTACAACACAGTATAGGACTGTAAAAGGAAAAACGATGTCAAAACCCAGATACTAATCAATACAGAGACAAAACTAGATACTCATTTGGACAAGTATTGATACAGAAATTGGACTCATGTCGATATAGGCTTGACCTGAACTAGTATAAGACCACAGTAAACTAAACAAACTAGTCCAAAACATAAAAGTACAAAAGGAGTGCTTGTAATACTCATGGTGCGATTGACATCAGCATCGAAATTTGAGTCTGAAATTTTGTGGCGTCGCAGTTTTTCTACACAACGGTTCTTAATTTCAAGATTTCCACTCTCAATTCTTATTCCTTAAAGGTTCATTGTGTAATTTTTCTGGTGGAGGGTCCGTCAGTTGCTCGTCTCCATGGAGATGTTATGGCTTTGTCTGGAATGTTTCACAGTATGGTATTAATTTATTCAATTACAGATGGTTTTATTGCTCAAAAATACATAGAAAAAATGGTATTCTGACTCTGAATGGGGTCGCCTCTTCACAGGTTTGGCCTGTAACTTGGCCTGGTTTGGGCTCCATGATGATAGAAAGGTTTAATGCCATACTGTGAAACATTTGAGACAAAGCAATAACAGGGTTCCCACGCTTTTTCACTGAGAAAATTGCAAAACTTTTCCATGACTTTTTCATGACCTAAAGTGAATTTTCCATGAGTTTACGACCTACATGTGTAGAACTGATCAGACTTTTACAGCTAAATATGAAATTTTAATGTTTTCCACTCACCTTATGGTTTGGTATTATAGTTTAACATTCAAAATACTTTCAGTGCATTTATTGTCATCTCTTTTAAACAAAACGTAGAAACCGTCTGGCCTCGATTCATTCGCTTGCGTTGACTTTTTTTCATTTAACCAATCGCTACTATTTGGTCGTGAGGTATGTAATGCGCCGCTAACTGTTCTATTAAGCTGAAATCTGAAATCTTGTAGGAAGAAGGACAATAATGTCTTTGCCCTTGATAAAATTCACCAAACATTCTCTTTGTTCTGGCTTGAAATCCTCAATCGTTGCCAACACAGAACGTCTGTCTCTTCGCTGATTGGCTGGTGCCCGAACTCGCACTTCTGGGTTTTTTGCGAACCGTCTAACCGTGTATTCCGATTCCTGACCTAGCCGCTGGAGAGAAATCAAATTTAGCGGTGACGTCAGCCTGGCTAAACAAAAGGGGCATACGTTCGGAAATAATCATAATAGCCTAATGATAACTTAACAGAACGCTGTAGTTGCGTGAAAGCGATACTAAAATTCCATGACTTTTCTAAAACTTTCATCGAAGTCACAAAATTTTATGACGTTTCCAGGATTTCCATGACCGTGGGAACCCTGAATAACAAAAGCACTGGACGGACGCTCCACCAGAAAAGTTACACGATGCACCTTTAACGATCATGTAGCAAAAAAACTCTCGACTTACTTACCAAATTTCTGTAATGGGCTGTCGTATTGTTTATTTTTATATTGTACTTTATATAACCATGTACCGCAATGTGCATTATACTTACTTGTACTTACTTCCACAGCTAAACTCCCTTTGAAAACTGAGAAAACATTAGAATACTATTTAGATTTAATATGATATGTAACCTAGTAATTGTTATATTATGTTATTTTAGGGCAAAATGGGTAAGTATAGTTAGTTTAGACACATTTTTTGTCCTAACTCTAGTTTAAATTGTTAGAGCATTGTTAGCGATCTGAATGCTACTTGCTCCGGTCTGGTCTCGCCGTCCGCCGGTCGGGTTCTTGGTTGGTCCGACAGCGGCCGCAGATCAGATTGGCCCTTTCGCATGATGCTAACGTGGCTTCTGTTTGTTTTTGTTTGTCCCCTCCCGCCCCCCCGTCCCCGCTGCAGGTCCCGGGCTGGCGTTCATAGCGTACCCCAAGGCAGTCACCATGATGCCTTTCCCAACTCTATGGGCTGTCCTATTTTTTATAATGCTGCTGCTGCTTGGCCTCGACAGTCAGGTGAGCACTTTGGGTTTTATGTTAAAGCTGCACTAGGACCTGTGAAAAGTTACATAGTGAACCTTTAAAGCCACTACTGCATAACTTTCCTAGAGGGAATTCACGCTGTGCATAATCTAATATATTCATAATATGAAGAATTAAGATTTAAAATGCTTATTAACAGTTGGTTTTTTCATTTATTTATTTATGTTACACGTATATAACAATAAAAAAAAAGCACTTTAAATAAAAATAGTAGGTGCAGGAAGAGGCAAAAAACCCAAAAGGGCAGAGTCCTGCACGGGTCCAACTGCTGAGCCAATCGCCAGGACTACACCAGGACTGAACCAGGTCTGAACCAGGACTGAACCAGGTCTGAACCAGGTCTGAACCAGGACTGAACCAGGTCTGAACCAGGTCTAAACCAAAAATAAACCAGGACTAAACCAGGTCTAAACCAGGACTTAACCAGAACTAGACCAGGACTAGACCAGGACTACACCAGGACTAAACCAGGTCTAAACCAGGACTAAACCAGGACTAAACCAGGACTAAACCAAGACTAAACCAGGACTAAACCAAGACTAAACCAGGACTACACCAGGTCTAAACCAGGACTAAACCAGGACTAAACCAGGTCTAAACCAGAACTAAACCAGGTTTAAACCAGGACTTAACCAGGTCTAAACCAGGACTAATTCAGGACTAAACCAGGTCTAAACCAGGACTAAACCAAGACTAAACCAGGACTTAACCAGGTCTAAACCAGGACTTAACCAAGTCTAAACCAGGTCTAAACCAGGACTTAACCAGGTCTAAACCAGGACTAGACCAGGAGCGAAGCAGCCGAGCCAATCACCTCCGCTGATGGTTTTATGAAACAAATACACTAAAGTCTCTCTCAGCCTGGTCTGTCATTGTTCTGAGAAAAGACGGGGAAATGGCACTTGTTTCCAGGGCAACAGACGTCCTGGACGCGTGTCAAGTATTTTTCTCCCATTCTTCGTTCATTTGACTCACCTGACCCGCCCGTGTGCAATCATTACCTGCCCGCAAAATTCCAGAACCGGGTGAACCTGGTGCAGGACTCTGGCTCATAGTAAAGCCTCCACCGTATAAATACATTCAAATTGAACATTATAACTGTGCGTTACTTTAAAAATATAAATACATTTACACACCTTAGGTTAAATAAATTTGAATAAAACATGGATTAAAACACAAATGACTGACCATCCAACGTTACCGTGAAATATCAAACATTCTCAAACTCTTTTTAAATGACGTTTCTGATCTGCCGTCACAAACCAGATGTGGAAACTGAGCTCTTGACGTGACACATTTTGGAGCACGAAAATCACGATTTTGCCGAGTATTTTCATAGTCGGAATCTCGATTGAAACTCAGCAAAGGATCATGGTCTATGCAGTTCTCTCTGTTTTTTGTTTTCTTTAGCTATTGTGATATTATTGAGACTTTTGACGATACGATATGACGACATTTCGGTTAGGAGGATACACACTTGCTGCTCGTCTGGAGATGTTTTTGCTTTCTTTTGGATGTTCAGCAGTGGAGTTTTAACTTATCTATCACCGTGGAGATTAGCGGACGACGTAGCTGCGAGCGAAGCAAAGTACGTATCGGTTCTGTGAAGATCCAAGCCTGCTGAGGGTATTTTATTCAAGCGCTGTTAAACTATGAATGGAAGGTAAAATGGAAAGAACACGGTGTCTGGATTCCAAACATCTTTCTGCACAAACAAAACAGAAACATATTTGCCGAATTATCTCTGTCCAAATTCCTTTACATGTGGATAGGAAGTTGTCCGACGTGTAAATCTTGGCCTCCTGGAACATAAGGCCAAGTTTGGGCATTTATAACAGACGAAACATACCAGCTTGATAATGCCTTTCTAAAGTTAGCGTATCTTAAAGACAGTTTCTACAAACACGTATCAGCGGTTACGTAAGAGGTCCACAGCTGTTGTTTGGCCTGGATACTGTAGTATTTCGGTATGGGCCATGTGTGTGTCGGTGCATGTGTGTGTGTGTGTGTGCATGTGTGTAGCATCAGCGTGGACTTGCGGACATAAAGCAGCTGGCTAAGGCGCTATCTTACGACGCACTAAACAAAGAGCCTCTAACTGAGTGACGGTATCGAACGTCGTAAAAATACTACGGCAAAAATAGTGCAGCTGTTAACGGAAAAACAGAAGCCGCGATGAAGTCATTAAGTTATACAATACAACACTTACTGCAAATAGCAAGGTAGTACGCGTGATATTGTTGCTGGTGTCATTTATTTAACTTACACTTTATTGATCCGTAAAGGAAACTCTAAAGCAAATAGCGTTATGAAGTCATTTAAAGATGCATTATGTAACTTTTTTGATAGTGCCGGCCACCTGATTTTCCCCTTAGTGTGAGGTAATGGCTTTGTTTGAAATCATCCACACCAAAGTCTTAAGCTACATCCACACGACAACACTCCTGAGTTTTTTTTTTGTTTTTTTTTGCGGGTTGAAAAATATTCACAGTCAGACGACAACGGAGCACTGAGTGAAAACGATGTAATACATATGCCACACCTGTATATATCGCGCTGTAAACAATGATAATAATATTTAATAATGTGTATCCCATCACAGTTTTTTACTTTTTCTTTAACTTTAAGGTAATTAAGTCTATTTAGATGTGTCCCAGAAATATAGACGTTTTGTTTTGCAAAAGTTAAACAGAATTTTTTTGTTTTTAGCTATAAGATTTGGAAGAGAATTATTAGAATAACTTGGTCTTGAAATCCTACAGTATAATTATTTATGCGTTATCTTTGTTATTGTTCCATGTGCGTAGTCTGTGTGGTGCGTGTTGTTAGCGGTTCCGTTGGCTACACCTGTCCCATTTCGGCAACGGTCTTGCGGTCCGCAGAGGCTAGTTAGAGGGCGTCATCGTGATCGTTTTCCAAAAGCTGCAGTTTGTTTGTCCACACGACAACACAACATCAGCGTTCTCAGGTTTCTCCACTCTGGAACCCGTTCTCAAAAAACACAGTTTTCGCCCACCTGAAACGTTGGCTCCGTGTGGACGAAAGGCCAAAACGAATACAAACTTCACCATTTCGATTAAAAAAATAACGTTGTTGTGTGGACAGGCCCTTAAACTAATCTCTCTTGGCGTACGCATTTCAAAACAACACTGTGGAATATTCCAGGCAAAGCAATAACATCTCCACGGAGACAAGCCAGTGGTAGACCCTTGAGCAGAAAAGCTGGCGTCAAAATACTCAGAGGTTGTGTCCGAATGTCCACCCTGGTCCCTGACCCCTCATTCTCTTCAACGTCCAGCGCTGTTTATCAGATCAAATATAGTTCTCTTGTTCATGCAGAGATTCGAACTGTCCGCTCACGAAGTTGTCCGCGCTGGTCAGGGGTGTAGTGGGCGTGGCATGTCGAGGTACACCATCCACCCACTTTCCCGACGTGAGATATAAACAAATAACAAATATAAAATAGCTACAACTTAAATGTCAAACTTGAGCTTTTGGCAATGGTGAAAACAACCTGCATAGACTCATGATATCTGCACTACTGTCCTATAGAGACCTGCCACATCAGGGACCAGGACTGAGGGAAATGGTTCATCACATCAATCACGTCACGAATTGCATACTCCCACTTAAAAATCCCCACTACACCACTGCATCTGGGTGAAAAAAAAAAAAAAGTTCTTTGGGCTTCAGTAAAAACTGATTTCTGAGTTCAAATACTCATTTTGAGTTAAAGGCCTGCCGCCGTCCACTGCTGTTTTTACAACTCTTGGGGTAGATTGTCCGGCCTAGTGACCAACGCTGGACACTACCTTTTCAAACTTACTTAGTCACTTACCTTTCACTTTTTCTTCACCCCCTTGGACACTCTAAAAATGATGTGACCCTTGAATCATGTGGCCATTTTGAACACAGCCAGATTCCTTTAAGTAAAACACAAACAAAACAATGTTTTTTGTAAAAACATTCTCACACACAAAAAAAAGCGTGGGAATTTTTCAGGTTTCAAAACAGCTGAGTTTAGTTTTAAATATATATATATATATATATATATATATATATATATATATATATATATATATATATATATATACACTTTAAAAATCCTCTTTGTGGAGCTGGAAGAGTATTTTTCTTCATTGATTTATTATTATTATTTTTTATTTATTTATCTTTTTTAGTATACTTTAAATATACTCTTGTATGTTTTCAGTTTGTGGAGGTGGAAGAGTTTTTTTTTTTTTTTTTATTACTTTAAATATCCTTTTGTGTGTTTTCAGTTTGTGGAGGTGGAAGAGTTTTTTTTTTTTTTTTTTTTTTTTTTTTTTTTAATATACTTTAAATATCCTTTTTTGTGTTTTCAGTTTGTGGAGGTGGAAGGTTTTTTTTTTTTTTTTTTTTTTAGTATACTTTAAATATATTCTTGTATGTTTTCAGTTTGTGGAGGTGGAAGAGTTTTTTTTTTTTTTTTTTTTTAATATACTTTAAATATCCTTTTGTGTGTATTTTCAGTTTGTGGAGGTGGAAGGGCAGATCACTTCTCTGGTCGATCTGTATCCGTCCTTCCTAAGGAAGGGTTACCGCAGAGAGGTCTTCATCGCTATACTCTGCTGCATCAGTTACCTGCTCGGACTCACCATGGTCACCAAGGTAACTCTACACGGCAACCGCATCATAGCAACAACATTTCCCCGGCAACCGCATCTCAGTGACTCATGTGTTCTCAGAGTTAAACACATGCCAAATATTCCACACCTACATTACCTCTAAAGACGCAGCACATACAAACCACAGAGCCGTTTGTATTCTGTTCTCTTTATTTACAAGGACAGTTTGATTTTAAAATACTCTGCTGCTGTTGAAAAGAGGGCTGCAGAAACAAATCGAAATCAAAATGTTTCTCCAACATCTGAACATCATTCTTGCTAATGTATTTTTATTTATTTATTTTTCCACCACACTCATGCAGCTATAGTTGTAAGATCGACAGCTCCTCTTCGGTACAGAACATTTGGAAAAACAAGCCACGTTCAGGCCGTTTGGGGTCTATGGGGAGCGGGGCTATTATGGATGGAGCCGTGAGAACTTCCCTCTGTAGTATTAATAGACAGATGTGCCTAAGTTTTTCTCATCACCCAGACCCAGTGTGTGACATGTTTGGGCTAAAAGCAGAAAGGTTCTCAGATTCAGCTCATGTGTTGTTTCTAACGGACAAGACACAGAAGCACTGAAGTCTCTCCAAGCTCCAAGATATTTTTACACAACAAATGAGTCAGTCATTTCTCAAACTTTTCAACCAACAACTTCCACAGAAAACATGAAAGAGCCCATTTTATAATGTTGTTTCCTCGTCACAAACAGACCTGGAGTTGTGTTTTGTTTCATTCACACAAACACACAAACCTTGCATATTTAGGCTGAGTTCTTCTCTCAAAACAGAAAACACTCTGTTCCACCTTGTGATGTCATGTGATAATACAGGAAGTTCTCCACTGTGTTTTTAAACCCCATACACCTTCACTAGGATCATTTCGATGATTTCAGTCCTGGAATTTCCTACCTCTAGTGAACTAAAGGTAAAAGGAGCTGCTAAATTGAAAACTACTGCTTCGACATCTCAAGGTGGAGCAGAGTATTTTGAGCTTTGGAGATGTAGAAAGACTAATAATAAAGGGATACTCAAACTTGTGTGAATGAAGCTAAACATAACTCCACGTCTGTTTTTGAGGATGTAACAACATTATAACATGACTTCAAGCCAGAAATGGGGACTTGCAAGTCGTGACTTGGACTCGAGTCGGACTTAAGTCATTATTTATAAGACTTGAGATGATAAAATGGAGTAAGACTTGGGACTCGACTTGGACTTGAAAGTCAGTGGCTTGTAGGGCTGGGTATCATTAAGAAGTTGCCGATACGATACATACCTCGATACATAGGCCACGATACGATACATATCTCGATACAGTGCACTTTCTATTCAAAATGATGTATTTCAAATCGATTCGATACAGTTCACTAAAAAATAAAGGCTAAATCATGGCTGTGATACTAAAAGTCTTTCTTAAACCACTTCTTGTGCAAAATTCATATGAAACACATACATTTTAATCCTTAAAACAGTGTCAAAATGTCAAATGTGTTGCATAAATGAGTTTCCTTTCACTCCACAAGCAACAAAACTGTAGCACTGTAACAAAAATAATTTAGTAAAACACACATAAAAATACTCTTGGTCATATATCGATACAGTAGCCCACGATATTGATACTGTATCATCACATTAAACGATACAATATATCGATATTCCGATATTTTTGCACACCCCTAGTGGCTTGGGACTTGACTCGGACTTGAGGCCTGTGACACTTTTAAATCTGAATTCTTTCTATTCTGACCGTAATGATTCACTCTAAGATCTTGTCAAGACATTTAAAAAAGAGAAATTAACTAAATTAATTTCTACAACTCTTATATACTCTATAAATACTCATATACAAATATACTATGATTTTTAAAGTACAATTTATCTTAAAAGTCATATAAATAGCAAAAATCTAAGCTATATTTGGTACTTTGGTTTAAAGACTTGAAATAACTTGAAACTCAAAGCAGATGACTTGGACTTGACTTGGACTTATGGGCCAGGGACTTGAGACTTGACTTTGACTTGCCTGTATTTGACTTGGGACTTGACTCGGACTTGAGGTCAAAGACTTGAGACTTACTTGAGACTTGCAAAACAAAGACTTGGTCCCACCTCTGCTTCAAGCTCACAAGAGTCCGTCTATTATAACATAGAACCTTTAACTTCCAAGTATCATCAAGACGATACAGAAGGACTTGAACTGCCAGACTTCATCAACATCAACATGAACACGAACATAAATAAACATGAATACATAACTAAGAGGAGGTACGGTTGCAAAATATCTCCAGATGACTCATGTGTGTGTTTTACAGGGTGGCATGTACGTGTTCCAGCTGTTCGACTACTATGCAGCCAGCGGTGTGTGCCTTCTGTGGGTGGCATTCTTTGAATGCGTTGCTGTTGCCTGGGTTTATGGTACGTCTATTTCAACTCTATTTTACTTCTATTATTAAAGAACACATACTGTGCTTGAGCCTGCTCTAAAGTTATGATCTATAACACTCGTAGGGCATTATGTTATTTGCACATTTTAATTTGCAGTATTCATCTAAAACAGTGTTTCCCAAACCTTTTTTTTCTGGGGACCCATATTTTAAAAGTCACAAATCTTCACGACCCAAGACAATAGACTTTATTCGTAAATCACAAAATAAATGTGTGACTATTATTGAACATTAATGAGGATATTTTACTGTGTGTCTCTCTGAACAATTAGTATTACTCAAGTTTTAAATTATGAAAAACCATGATCAGTGTGAAAATTGGTTAGGCAAGACGGTGCTGAAGAAACAGTGAGGAACGGGGAGTTGCATAGAGCTTTATGTATTATGTATATTTCAGACCTACATGCAGATAGTGACAAGGAGACCCCAAAAAAATCTCCTGCGACCCACCTGAGGGCCATGACCCGGTCTTTGAGAAACAATGGTCTAAAATGACTTATTAAAGGAAACAAGTCTGCTAAGTTACGCGTTAGAAAACCGTGGCGCCCAGTGCGAGCTGATGTCACCGTAAACGTCATCACAACAAAGAGTCAGCTCCAAATCACACTAGCGAGTAGCAGATTTTTAAAAATGTGCTAAAATGACTACACAACGCTGCAGAATCCTACTTCCATCACATGTTAAGAGAATAAAATTGGTGAACGAAGTAAGCACAGAGCAGCGGGTGTGTGCTGGTGGTGCTGAAACGAGACTTGATTAGCAATAGGGTGTCTTGAAAATAAGAAATTAAAGATTGCTCAGACATGCATGAATTACTCGAAATACAACTTCAAGAGGGAAAATGTGAAGGGAAACAACTAGAACAACGTTAAACTTTCAGAATAGGCTTGCTGTAATTTTAACTACATTTAATAGTCCATAAAAATAATTAATATGTATGTGAGTAGCTGTCATCTTGAGGACTTCCCGCTCCAGCCTGTACACTCTAATGCATAGCCGTGCCTATGTTTAGACTAAATGCACTGTACAAACAGCTCAGGCCATTTATAATCTACTTATAAAAGTACAGGGTCATTTATTATCTACATATCAGACGACTCCCATTTAGAAACATAAAGGCAGCCATTATGCAGTAGGTACAGTATACAGAACGGTCTGCTGTTGTTACAGATGGACGGTCGTAACTCTTTTAGTGCTCTTATAATAAAGATAAGGAGATTATATTCTTGCAAACAGAGTAAAGATACTAAACGCATGTGTTAATGGTTAAATATTGCTCAATTAACCATAAAAGATCCAAAATATCAGTTCATATCCCTTTTAAAAAGATTCTGCACTCATCCAAACTCACTCACTCACTTACCTTAAGCATTCTGAGCATCCTAATTATTCACCACAATAAATAAAACCTTCAGAGGGCAGAACAAGGTTGTGATAAAACTAACAACAACTACTACTAAATTTGCTTATTCTTTGACAATAAAAGGCTTTAGAATTATATGCAGAAAGTACACAGTGAACTGACTTTGACCTCGAGAGCTGCTGCCGTAAAACACTTTTCACGATACTAAAAGATGCTTTATATGAAGAGATAAACAAAGACAAACAGAAGGAAGAAGAAAGTTGGGTTTAAAGAGATGGGTTTTATGCAGTTGTCCTTCGTTTCAGGCGTTGATAATTTCTATGATGCCGTTGAGGACATGATTGGCTACAGACCAAACCCATGGATGAAATGGAGCTGGACCGTCTTCACTCCTCTGCTCTGTGTGGTATGTGTCTCTTTCAAAACTTCAATTACAATACAATTCAATTCAAAAATCAATATTTAGGTAAGATAAAATGACTTAAATTAAGAACATTTGACTTTATTTGAGTAGATTCAAGTTGACAAGTAACATTATCTACCAATGGAATAAGTGTGTCTTTATTTATTCAAGCAACATTTGATTTTGTTTCTTATTTTAAGCACAAAAAGTCCTTGTTTTTCTTATCTTAAGTGTCGTGAGATGTATTTTCATAGTTTTAGTACAAAAAGTCTTGTTCCACTGGCAGATAATTTTACTTGTTAAGTGAAATTTACTCAAATCGTGATAAAACTTTGTTAATTCAAGTCATCTTAACTTGGTTAGATTTTAGTTTTTGCAGTGTGTAGCAAAGATTTTATTTTTAATACTTATAAATATTGTATGTTTTGTATTTTAGATTCAAATCCTTAGAGTAGCCACCTTTTGTTTTGTTAACAGCGCTGCAAAAACATGGTAAAGTTTCCTGAAACGATTTTCACTTCAGGTGTGAGTTCACTCAGGGTTCACTAGACCAAGAGTGTGCAAAGCAAGAATTATTATTAATTGATAGTTTTAGAATGAGAATCTACAATGTAAATAGTCCCAAAAAACAAAGGCAAACAAACCAACAAACAAAAAAAAAAAAACAAAATGTATCCAAACTTGACTTGTCTTACTTCTATATGTCCTACTCCTTCCTTCATATATTGACCTGGTACTGTATACTGTGTGCAGGGCTGCTTCATTTTCTCCTTGGTCAAATATAAGCCATTGACGTACAATAAGGTCTACCAGTACCCGGACTGGGCCATCGGTCTGGGCTGGACTCTGGCTCTGGCCTCCATGATCTGCATCCCCATGGTGGTGGTCATCAAGATCATCCGCTCTGACGGGCCGCTCATCGAGGTCAGTACAAGATCACTGTTATTATTTTCATTATTAGAATAAAAAAAATAATAAATAAATAAATATGTAGACTGTATATATAAATGGACATTCCAAATAGGAAGTGAGCATAGGCGTGCCAATTCCCTTTATGTTCAAAATGGTCATCTGTCTGTCTGTAACTACTGCTGAGCTTCGTCATTTTGGTCTGAAAATGTTCATATTAACCCACTTTACCTGATCCTGGTGTTTTTATTTCGCTATTTTGTCTGTTTTGTCTTTTGACACCAGTCTCTTGCTGTTTCTGCGACTTACTTAGAATTTATTATCACCATTTATATATTGTGATGTGTGAGCTACTGTATCCAGAGAATTTCTCTTATGGATCCATACATTTTGTTGAAGTCTAAGTCTGAGTACCGTATTTTTCGGACTATAAGGCACACTGGATTATGGCGCATTAAGCAAAACAAACAGATGACACTTAAGACTGATCCCTAAGCCCAGGCATCCACAATCCATCGGCAGATCGTGGCGTAATTCGCCCGGCGTTGCCTCCCTGTCTTGGTGAATGTGTATTATGAATATGAATGTGGGTGGATAATTTAAGTTTAGATTTTTATTTCCTACGAGGACGACTCAAATATACATTGAGTAATAATGTGTTTAATGCAGCTTTGTGCACATTTGTTTATGTTTTACAAAAATGAAACTTAAAACCACATGGCTAATTTGCATAAACTACAAGCACTGAAAAAAAGAACTCACTCTTTGTGTGCTGATGCGGTTCAGCTTCTGACGGACATGACTCCACGAGGCTCCTGACTACAGTAGCCTTAACGCTCCAACAATCCATCAAGTGGTGCGGCTTCATAGTTTACCAAAGTCGTACTAAAACATTCTGACAGATTGTTGAGCGCCATGTACCACATAAAATCAGTTTGAGGTCAGTAAGTACAACCAGAATTAATACATAAGGCGCACTGTTGATTTTTGAGAAAATTTAAGTTAGTTTTTAAGTGCGCCTTATACTCCAAAAAATACGGTACATGGATTCCTAATATTGAACTTGGCTCCAAATTCACTCCTGTAACTGCAGCTTCCATGAGCTTCATTTGACTGGAGCTGAACGCTGTGGGAGACATCAACACTCCCTTATTCCACTTCTTTACAGTCTATAGTTGACACCGTTTTTATAAATAACCAACCTACGAACTGACTTTGTTGTTGTCATTTCTCTTAAACATTAGCCCCATGGAATATCTAGGTCATGTTGTACATTACTACGCTACAAAGTGAGAAAATAAAACGCACACAAGTAGCTTATTGATGCTTTCGGAAGTTATTTATGGAGTTTTAGTTTTATTCCACTTCTTTGTACAGTCCGTGTTTATAGTTTTGTTCTCTTAATGGTTAATATAATGAAACTACACCAAACAGCTGAAGCCATTTCGTAACAAGATCTTTTTTAGTGAAATTTAAATTTTATGAGTCAAAACATTAACAGGCTTTAACTTCTCCTCTCAAAATGTTGTATTTCACATCCAAATGAATTAAGCCATTTTGAATTTATTTTTACTTTCAATCTGAATCAGTTCTCAAATCCTTTTAGATCACATCCTTCTTTTGTCTAATCTGAAGTTATATTTGGCCACTAAACTAAAACAAAAACTGACAAGCATTTCTATCTGCAGTCTCCTTTGTCCCTTTTTGCTGCAGTTTATCTTGTGAGATATTGTGGCTTAAGATCTGGTCCCATTCATATCCATTTTACTGTTTTGAATAGCGATAAACTGATACGAGTTTTTTCATGGTCGATGATGATACTGCTTGTTCAGAACAGAGAGACAGATGGGTGATCAGCTCTGCCAATATTTTGGGGATGATATGTAGGGCAAATTTTGATCCTTTCTTTCTACAAACTCATACACAGTGCTGTTTTACTACAAACTGGATAAGAGAACAGTGTTGTCACATTTCACATAGACAAACTTCATTGATCCATTATTTGGACACAGTAGCTCACACATTATCTGAGAATATAACCCGAGATAATATCAAACTTTTGCGCTGCATATGACACGGACTGAACCAAGGCTAAACCAGGACTAACCTAGGACTGATTCCAGGACTGAAGAGGAGGACTAAACCAGGACTGAACTAGGACTAAAATAGGACTAAAACAGCAGTAAACCAGGACTAAACCAGGACTGAACCAGAACAGAAACAGGACTCACTGTCCGGACAGGTTTGAAGGAGAAAGGTCTGGCTCAGCTCCACAACGTGACTGTAGCCCGATCGCGCTTTACGGATACCTTGCTGTGCGGATTTGCGGTTCTCTCTCTTAAGTCCTGGTTTCAGCAACTATTTGTGGGTACCCAACCCAGTGCAGGACTCTGCCTACAGCCGCAAAACTTCTACCTTCTTTCCCCGTGTCCAGAAGTTACAACTTTTTGTGCGATGGTTTGCATCTTCCTCTTCCTTTTGGTTGCGACCAGAGGAGCCTTTGTTGGTGCAGAATGTTTCGTCGAGATTGTGGGTTTTGTTGGGGAGAAAACTTGCAAATATACAGCACTTCAGAATCACACTGCTAGAGATCGAACATTTCTGTAAATTTGGCAGCTGAACACATTCTGTACTGTACAGGAGACAGGAGTGGGAGGAATGCAGTACGTAAAATTACACACAAAAAAATCTGCGAAACAGCGAGAGTGTGAAAGGTGATCCACGATATAACGAGGGGCGACTGTATTTATAAAAAATGCTGTGAGGACATGATTGGCTACAGAGCATTTTCTACTATCTAAGAACAGCTCTTCACTTACCTTTTTGTTTCGTTCTGTTTTTCCAGAGGATCAAGGCGGTGGCAGCCCCAGTGCGCGGAGGTGCCAGCTCTCGTCCCGCTGGTCACCGTGGTCTGAAGGAGCTCAACTACCCCCTGGACCCCAACATGAACAAGGGCCTTCTGCTCAAGGCCCCCAGCCACACCATCGTCGAAACCATGATGTAGACCTGCCCACCCGACCGCTAGGGGGCGCTCTCCGTGAGAAAACCCCTCCTCTGTCCTCTTCGCTTTCGGAGCTAGCTTTGTCTTTCTGTCTGTCTGTTCGTCTGGTGGACTCAAAAGGGTTTAGGGAAAAAAAAAAAAAGATCAAGCTGTTTAGGAAATTGTGAAATCGGGAAAGTAGTAGTAGATGATGTAAGCCTGGCCAGTCAGACCTACAAGTTTTCATGGATTTTGTTGAAACTCTTACCAAAAATATCCAACCGTGCAAAATTAAAGGTGCACTGTGTAACTTTTTGGTTGTTTCTATGGATCTGTGGTCATTAGTCTACCTGGAATGTTCCACAGTGTGACATTAAACAGCTCTACCTAACATTTATTCAATTACAAGTGGTTTTATAGCTCAAAAATCGCTATAAACAGACATTCTGACTGTGGGCGGCATCGCCTCTCCACAGATCTGACCTGTAAACCTGCCACCTACTTGTATCCATGGAGATATATACGTTTTGTGCTATACTTTAGGAACACTTTAGGCTAACATCTCCATGGAAACAAGCAGGCAGCAGACCCTCCACTAGAAAAATTACACAATGCCCCTTTAAGTAAGCACAACAGTTGACACTAACTTTACATTGTTGCTGAGCTAGCAACAATGCGTTGACATTTTTAAATTTTTTTTAGTTTAAAAAAATTATTCTAATAGCAGTTATCATTAGCCATAAGCATCGCAAAATAAATCCAGATCCTGTTTGAACATTGTTGAGTCATACCCTTTTATTTAGAACTGATTTATTAAAACAACAACAACAACAATTAGCAAATGAGCTAACGGCTACATATTCATTACAGAGAGTTTGATTTTGATTTGGCTTGTACGATTTATTTTTAGAGGCTACCAACCCTCGTCTGTGGCTTTATTTATTTTTCATTTTTGACCTTCCTTAAAGTCCTTTTCGAATCTGTTTCCAAATCCGTAGAAAATGAGTAAGTACGTCTGGCCAGGCTTGGACTTTCTTGATGAAAAGGGTACCAGTCACATTTCAAATCTATTTCTATCTGAAGTTGCCCCTCTTTCAAACGTTCTTGCGATTAAATCTATAGCACTTAGTTTTATGGACTAAACGGTGAAATTACACCAGCCGAGAAACTTGAAACCTCTTTTTAAATATCACGTCTAACAAACTTGTGCCATAAGGTTTTCCCATTTAATTTATTACCAGTTTACAACAAACTTAAGCACTACAAATGCTTTATGAAGACTTATTTTTCTTGACCAACGTTTGGAATAGTTAAATATTCAAAGACGTGAAGCTGGAGCTAATTCCGCTTTTGGATTTTTTGCCACAGCTGTATGTTGATAAAAATTTAAAAAAAATAATAAAGTATTTTCCACTGGCGTAGTACAAAGAAATGCTGCAGCCACAGATCTGAATGTATGAAGACATAATCATAATTTCAAAGCCATGAAAATTCCATTCTTTTGGGACCACGAAAAGGCTAAACCGAAGTGTATGTCTGAATTAAAAGTAGGGGTGTAACGGTACACAAAAATCATGGTTCGGTACATACCTCGGTTTTGAGGTCACGGTTTGGTTCATTTTTGGGACAGTATGGGAACAAAATGCTAAACCATTTGCTTGTTGTTTATTTGTGTTTTTATTAAACCAACTATTTGTCTTAACATTATACAAACTGGAAAATAAAATAAATGCAAAGTGCTGCTTGGTAATACTAATAAGTTAAATAAAATATTCTCAAATAAGCAACACATGTATGAAATATTATAAAAAATAATTTCCTTGTAAACAGTAAACACAAAGTAAAGTGCAGAACTAACAGTCCCAGCTTGAAGTTTTACTCAATCTTCATATTTTTGGTGAGAAAAAAACAACTTGCCCATATTGTCGGAGGGACGTAATCAAGGTGGGGGGCAATTGTTGTCAAGGTGGTCGCCCTAACTATAAAGCGCCATGGGAAACACTTCCACCCCAATCACGGACAAATTCCCTCGTGAATATTAAAGAGCCGAGCCTTTCCTGTACCTGCACATGTAGAGGAGGAATGTAAACACACACTAATTGCGTGAACTCAGTCATGCACTGAACCGAACGTCCTGTACCGAAACACTTCAGCACGAATACATGTACCGTTACGCCCCTAATTAAAAGGGTTTTTAGTATTCAGTAAATGAGAATTCCATTATAAGTGTCGATCAAATCCTAAACATAAGCTAATTCAGTGTTTTGACGAGCATTTGACGAGTATAACTTCCAGCCTCGATTAGCTTCATTTGACTGGAGCCGAATGGTATGGCTGACGTCCACTTATATGTACGGTCTATGATTCCAGCGTAACAGCTTTTGTGCAGCTTTAGCTTAAATATGCTACTGATATTGAAAAGCACATTCTTAGGTAGTTGGTTACGAAAGGTTAACAACTCACCTGAAAAGCACCAAAACGCTCGCATGTAGAAACAACGAGGACCACAGAAAGGCTGCTACGCGTCGCTCGCTTACGTCCTTAGAAAATGAAAACCCTACATTAGTTGAGACATATTCCTTCGAAGTAAAAGCCCTGACTGAAGCTGGTTCTTGATCGCACCTTAGCACAATCTGCCATAGCCTTATAGCACTGTACTTGGTCTATGGTTTTCGGACTAGACTAAAACTGAATTTGAATGGTCGTCTGAAAGGATTTGAAGTGTGGAGGTCCAACCCTTGAGTATAGGTTAATTGTGATGTACTGTATTGTAGTAGCTTAACAGTCAATATATCTATTTTGTCTATATATTTCTCTGCCCTAGACCAATTTACAATATAGGCTTTTCCTTTGCGGCTTACAACTTTGGACATTATTATTACTATGACAACTACTTTTGTCCTCTTTCAATGTTTAGACTTTTATATTAAGACTATAATGTTATTGGTATTCACTATTGATGATATTGCTGTAGTTTGCATTTAACGAAGGTCTTTTATTTTGAAGTGCATTTGTAGAGGCAGCCCGCCGGCTACTTTTCAAAGTAAGAGTCAAAAGAACGAACGCTGGAAAAGCGCCGGCGGTCGTGTCTATAAATGTGTGGGGTAAAGTTTGAACACTTTTGTTTTCTGTATATACCGACACTCAGTATTTTTTAATTTGAAGGGCACTTATTCACATGTCTACAAAAAAATAGATGCCCGTTTATAGTGGCTGCTATTTGGTTTGACACTGTTTGGATAAATTGGTCCGGACGCCGTGTTGTGAAAGACTTTGAAAGATTAAAAACACAACAAATATATATAAAAACATTCACTTGAAGTGCACTATGTCACTTCTAAGCTGGAGGGTCTGCTACTTGCTTGTCTCCATGGAGATGGTATTTCTTTGCATAGAATCTTCTGCAGTAGGGCATTAACACATATTCACCTTGCATTTAATGTTCAATTACCGTATTTGGATGATAAGTCGCTCCGGAGTATAAGTCGCACCAGCCAAAAAATGAGTAACGAAGAAGAAAAAAACATTTAAGTCACACTGGACTATAAGTTGCACTTTTTGGGGGAAATTTATTTTATAAAATCAGAGACCAGGAACCGACATTTCATGTTGACAGGCAAATTATAGCAATAACAATAGAACAACAGACTGTTAACATCACATATGAACAGTTCTTCAGATAACTATAACATAAACAATAGAACAGAACAAGTTTACCAAACTCTCCATCTCACTCCAAATCACTAAATCCACTGAATTCTTCATCCTCTCTGGAGGTAAACAAAGTGCCGCTCCCTCGTCAGACTCAGCATCAGTTCCAGTTAGGATTATTCCGGCCTTTCTGAAATCCAGTAGGATGGTTTCGGTTGTCAATGAAGTCACTTAAATGTTAAATTTTCAGTGGTACAGAAGGAATGGTGCGATCGACTGACATGATACAGACAGGACAGAGGCAGCAGCAGATACTGATACACAAGCCTAGAGTGACAATTTTAATATATAAATCATGCCGGAGTATAAAACGCAGGACCACGGAAACCATGAAAAAAAGTATGACTTATAGTCCAAAAAACACGGTATTTGTTCAGTTTTACAGCTGAAAAACACCTTAAAAACCATGAATCGTCACCATGTAGCTCTGACCATTAACCTGCCTTCATTGCAATTACCAAGTTTATTTCAATACTGTGGAATAAGACCAAACTGTAAGAGAGACAAGCAGGTGGTGGACCCTCCACGACAAAAGTTATCCAGTGCACCTTCAAATCTATTCTTTCAAGATGAATTTTGGCCTGTCAAATCCCTACAGCTTTTCACGAATCACGACAAAGTATTTTTAAGTTTGTTAATGTTAACAACGCATCAATTTCATTTATATTCAATCGTATTAAAGCTACATTTACAGACATTTGCACTTATAACAGATACACTTAAGTTGATTGCGGTTAACACCAAACTATACTGTATAATGTCTAATAAAAATCCAACAAGGCCGTTATTCGAAATCAATTGTCCAAACAGTGTCATAACAAAAGTTGACTGTACCCAAAATCTGTCTGAGCCCTAATACTCCTATCACAACTGCCTATATGTACTAGTAATTTATATACATTCATTTTTATATCTCTTTATAACAAATAACTTTTCCATTTGCCTAATCGTCACCAGCCCATCTCTCAGGAGCTCCTCTCTTGTGCTTTCGTATATTATCTACTGTACCGGGATGAAAAAGTACTTCTACTGCCCCCGATTTTGGCGTAAAGTAAATGTACGGAGAGTTGATTTTATTGTTGCACCTTATTTGTACGATTGGGATTCATATCAGAGGCCAGATACACTGCCATCGTGAGAAAAAATCAGGGTCCTTCGCATGTAAAATCGGTTTTAAAAATGTGATTCAAGAGCACACGGAATCATCGCGACCAATTGAAAGAGAAATTTTTCATATCATTACTAAGTACAAACATATTCATTTTTTTCATAATAGGTTGTGTGTGTTTATGCTAAGCGCCATTGCATTCTTCCTTACTACATACGCGTTGTTTTTTGTTTGTTCGTTTGTTTGTTTGTTTTAAATACAGCTTAAAGTTTATCTTAAAAGATCTGCGCACAAAATTTAAACCAATAAAGACTTAAATTTTTAACAATAAAAACAATTTGGCCAGACATTAGCAGTTAGCATTGACGCTAATTCGGGCGCGCTGAATGAGCTAGCAAGCTAAAATAGCATTACATAACATTTGCTATGATAACTTTTCATAAATTTAACAGCTTTTCGATTAAATATTCTCTTTAACATTCATTTCAGTACATTTTGATCAATTTGTTTTGATCAAACTAGCTTGGAAAAGTCATAAAGCAAGTATTATTCAGCTAGCTAACAAACCAGAGACTCTAAGCATTCTGGGAAACGCAGTCCTTCAGCAAAACGGGGTCAAAAGCTTGTGCTAAGATCTCTTAATATGAACCACAAGCCACATATCTTAACACATTATGCAGTAATACATGCAAAGTTGTATTTCATGTATTTTATAACTTTTGCCTTTCTACACTCCCCCGTCCGTTAACCTAAACCTGTTTTTGATTTGTTTAAAGCATTAGCAAACATGCACATGAATGTTGAAATGTGAAAGTAACCTTTGGGTTATTTTTTAGCCTGATAAAAGCTTTTTTTTTTTTTTTTTTTAATGTTTTAATTATTTTGTTCGGGTCATTTTGTGTTGTCATTTATAAGTGTGTGTCTTTTTCGCATTTGCCTTTTGTATTCCAAATATTTGTACCTCTTTCATTGGACTGTCAATCAAAAAACGAAAAAAACTGCGACTTGTATGTGCAATACTTTGTAGAAAACTTTAATTTTTATGCTGGTTATTCCAAAGTGGTACTTTATAATTAAGCTTGTGAAGAATTTGAACGATCAGGGTCCAGCTGAAGTAGGCAACAAATTGCTCCAAATTGTGACAAAGAAACCAAAACAGAACCACTACAGCAAATATTGTGGTTTGAATGCACTGAAAATAAACCATCAAACTGAATTTACAACTATGATTTATTTTTTCTGAGACTTTTATTTTGAAATGCAAAAACACTGCCACTAAGCCCACAATGTCGTACAGCTGCATATCATCAAGTCGCTTCAGCTATGACGCTACAAAAGAGAAGTTTTCCCCAAAGCCAGCTAACATCATCCCATCGCTACCATGTCCAACTTCGAAGCAAAACTAGAATGTTCCGCAGTATGGCATTAAAGGGGGACTAAGCACATAAACTCCACCCACAACTGCATTTCAAATAGAGCTGCTAAACTGGGGCAGTAAAAAAGTGAGAGGAGAGGCGGGGCGGAGTCTGGACGTATAAGGATCACTGTGACTGTTCTAACAGTTATTGACACTTTAAAATCCGCCCCTGCAGCCAGATATTTGTAATCAGAAACCCATGGCTGTAATCAGGGCAGTCCTACGTAATGTCACATAGTACCTGAAATTGCTTTTTTTTTTTTTTTTTTTTTTTTACCAGAAACCTACAAATGTACCTGTGTTGCACTAAAAATGCTTAACACTGCCTAAGAACAGTGGATAATGCTATTAAAACACCATTATACTGTATTTTTTGGACTATAAGGTGCACCAGATTATAAGGCGCAATATCAGTAATCTTGAATTCTCTCATCTATTTTCATACATAAGGCGCACTGGATTATAAGACGCATTAAGCGAAACAAATAGACGACAATTGAGACTGATCCCTTAGCTCAGGCGTCCACGATCTATCAACAGATCGTGGCGTAATTCACCCGGCGTTGCCTCCCTGTCTTGGTGAATCTGTATTATTGGATTTTTATTTTCTATAAGGAGGACTCAAATATACATTGAGTAATAATGTGTTTAATGCAGCTTTGCTCACATTTGTTTACGTTTTACAGAAACGAAACTTAAAACCACACGGCTCATTTGCGTAAACTATAAGCACTGAAAAAAACAGCTCCCTCCTTGCGCGCAGATGTGGTCAGCTTCTGTCGAACTAAAGGACACGACTCAGTGGAATGAATGTGTTTTAATTCTGCGACAAGGCAACGGCGGCAGTGTGCGTTGTGTCGACGCAGAACTATACTTCACCCTTTACTCCACGAGGCTCCTGACTACAGTAGCTGTAATGCTCCGACAATCCATCAAGCGGTGGGGCTTCGTAGTTTACCAAAGTCGTACTAAAACATTTTGACAGATTTTTGAGCGCCGTGTACCACATAAAATCGGTTCGAGGTCAGTAAGCACAACCAGAATTAATACATAAGACGCAATGTCAATTTTTGAGAAAATTAAAGGATTTTAAGCGCGCTTTATAGTCCAAAAAATACGGTATACAGTTTAGTAGCAAAACAACTGGATTTAGCCTTTAGTCCCATAGTAAAAACAATTACTTTTATTCATTGACAGGTGTTTTATTGCTATAAGAATCACCTTGAAAAATTAAACAGGAACCAGTTAATGCAATACTGCGGAACATTCCGGCCAAATAAACAACATTGTATTCCTTGTGTACTCATAGAACCAGAGTTACATTTTAACTAACTATTTGAATCGGCTGAAAATAGCAAACAAAACAAAAACAAAACAAAAAACATGGCTGCCTTGGTGAAAACTGATCTCTTCTCATATCACCATCCTAACTTTCCCATAATTCATTTCCATACATCCATATTGAGAACACTGCTGCCTTAGAGCATTAACAACCGCAGACTTGAGTTTCAAAATTTCATAATTCAAAACTGCCTCTAATCTTTTCAAACTTGTAATACAATTTTTGGTATATTTTCCATTTATATTGTACAATTATATTCTTACATGCATTTCTATGGACGTTTCATCAATTTTAACAACATTAGTTACTCAGAGAACCATAGTTACAACCATAGTTACAGATTCTCCTTGCTAGGGATTGTGGGAAATTGAGTCCTGCTGTTAATTATATGGAAAGTCCTTCCTTGTAAAGCTGTATACCAGTCAATCCTTTTGGAGAATGTAAAATGGGGAAATGTTTTTAATTCTTGTTGAAAACATTTTTAATTGAAAGGTTTTTTATTTTATTTTAATGGCCAACTTGTAAGCTACAAAAAAGAAAATCAAAAAATACAATGTGTGTTTGAACAGGTTTAACAAAGATGTAAACCTTTTTTATTTGATAATAAAACTGTCTTCATGAAATA